AAAACCACCCGCGGTTTCAGAGGACGGGCTGCTCCAATGCGACGATCACTTCGTCGAATTCACCACGTCGTCGCAGAGAATGCCTGCGCCCAAGCGAGGGCGGGGCCTTTCACTCCGACAGCGGCCACGTGCGGATCGTGAAAGGCGAAATCTTCTTCCGCTTCGGGGGCTTCGAGTTCGACTGGTTCAAGATGCGCCGTTTCGTCTTCTCAATTATCATGATCAAAGAAGCCATCGCGCGCTACAGCCTCCACTCCCTCACCGCCGAATTCTTTCTCAACACGTGCGACACAGACATCAGCAAAGCATCTTCCTCTGCAACGTACAGAGCAGGACTCCCCATTTTCAGCACGCACGGCTCAATTGGCAGCATCGACATACTCTATCCCGACCCGGTTGATCTGAGCGAATCTTACTTCCGCCAAAGTGAGGCGGATCAAGTGCCATGGGCTGAGAAGCAGAGCCGCGCCGTGTTTCGCGGAACCATGACCAATTTCAGAGTGACCATTGACCGGCAATGGCGCTCCAGCCCGCGAATGCGTCTGCACCGCATGTCAGACATTCGGCCAGATTTGTTAGACGCTAGATTGGTTAGGGGAGCCCATGAGGTATTTTTGGATGAATTGCGAGAGGATGGTATTGAGATGGGGGGTCGTCTCGGTCCGGCAGAATTGCAAGGGTTTAAGTACGAGATTGAGTTGGATGGCGGAACGGGTAGCTGCCGCACGTGTGGGATTCTGTCAAGCAACCAGGTTATGATCAAGCACGCGAGCGAATATTTCGAGTATTTCTATCCTCTGCTCTGCCCCAACCGACACTTTATCCCAACTCACCGATACTTGGCTGATTTATTCGAGTAGATAGAGTGGGCCCGGGATCATGACCGCATGGCTCAGAAAATCGTGAAGCATGCAAATCGGCTTGCAAGGGATGTTTGCACCTGGGAGGGCCGGCGTCTCTACTGGGCAATTCTCCTCGCGAAATACTCCACCAGCGCCCTCGAGGATCCTGCCAATGTAACCCGCCCGGATGTCTTCAAATGCACTGTTCCTCCGGTGCAAGGCGACGTGATAATAAAAGGCGTTCTCTCCAAGGAAAAGCCCGCAAAATGGTTGTCAAAATGCTAGGCCAAAACGAGAAACAGGCAAGAAGGGGTTTTGACTAACAAGCATAGGGATACATATATGCAAACCCTAGAAGGGCTGTACTCGCTATAGAGTACCCCACTGCAGGCTAGACAACCATCACATTCTGACACACCCCCATAGTCAAAGTGGGGTACAATCAACATAACAAGCAGACAGAGCAATAGTTCACAATTATAAGCAAAGCTAGAGGCTATCACAGAGGGCAAGTGAGGAGGAGGAGAAACTGTGGGAGCAAGAAGATGAGAGGCGACGGCTGAAGCTGCAGACACACAGGCAGCAGGAGTACGCCGCACTGACGCTACCAGGCTAAACCCGGACTACACGGCGACAGGGGGTCGCAGCTGGCTCGCTGTGCTCCCAGGAGTGCGCACACTGTAGCTACCGGGCGCAGAGCCCCGGACTACTCAGGCCACAGGGGGTCGTGGCTCCCTGGACTTCAGGCGCTGCGGACGACAAGTCGACGGCCTCCTCTCAACTTCCCCCAGCTGTCCCACCCCCTTTTTACACACCCCCTGCTGTTCCCCTAGCACCGCTCACACTACACCCCCTAGCGCCACTCCCTCGGCTCCCACACACCCACCCCCCTCAGCGGCAGCTGCAGCAGTGGGAGACGGAGAAGGAGGAGGAGGAGGGGAACGGCACTCAGTGGCTTCACCCCCATACCCCTCACCCCCAAACCCTAATTCAGGAGAACGGGCTGTAGGAGGGGTGGGGCGCCAGTAGAAGCACGGGGGACAGTGGGGAGGGCAGGGGCAGCGAGGAACGGGCCGCCCACGGGCCTGGCATAGCCGCCCGAACCGCGCGCAGGCGGCCCGAGCCGCGCGCGGGCCTGGCGCTTCCCGTACGGGCCGCGCGCGGGCCTGGCGCAGCCTGTACGGGCCGCGCGCGGGCCTGGCGCAGCCCGTACGGGCCGCGCGCGGGCCTGGCGCAGCCCGTACGGGCCGCGCGCGGGCCTGGCGCAGCCCGTACGGGCCGCGCGCGGGCCTGGCGCAGCCCGTACGGGCCGCGCGCCGGCTGTACGGGCCGCGCGCAGGCCACGACGGGCGACGCGCGGGTCCCCGTCGCCCGTCGCAGCGCCTCCCGGGGGCGACGCGCCGAGTGACGGGGCAGAAAACCGCCGCGCGCCCCGGGCGCGCGGCGGGAAGAAAAAATCGCTGCGCGCCCGGAGCGCGCGGCAGGCAGGAAACAGCAGGAAACAACAGCGGAAGCTTCTGGTGGGACCACCCACAGGATCGACCCAGGAGGGTCGACCCGCTCTGATAGCATGTCAAAATGCTAGGCCAAAACGAGAAACAGGCAAGAAGGGGTTTTGACTAACAAGCATAGGGATACATATATGCAAACCCTAGAAGGGCTGTACTCGCTATAGAGTACCCCACTGCAGGCTAGACAACCATCACATTCTGACAAAGGTCTCCCAGGTGCGGGTCTCCTGAGGAAGATGAGGGGCATTCACTGTGCACTCACTGGTGCAGGGGGTTTTTGGAAGAGTCCAAATGGAAGTGGCTTAGTGCCGACATTCTGAGTCAGATTCAGGGATCCAAGCCGCAAATCCCAGGAATCAAATTTAGAGATGTGTAGCCGGCTAGTGAACTCGTTGCACTCGTTATTCCTTGGGGAAACGAAAACACTTTAAGTGGACCTGGATCAGTGAAGGAGCGAGAGCTAAGAGAGTGGTTTGGACGAGGGAAGAACATTATTTATTAGTGATGAGCTGTTATTTGCAAGGTTTACAGATTTTGTCCCTTTCCGTAAAGCAGTGTCGACACCCAGTCTTGTATCGACGAAGGGAGGGAACCGAATAGCACTCCTGCATGAGCATGTCGCCCAAACACAATTCGAATTGGTGGCCGCTTCGCAAATGCTGCATTGGCGATGCGCTCCGCAAGTTGCGATGCAGGCGGGTTCTTCGTATCGGCTGCACGATACTCGTACGACTGACACATTCGCAACTCGAGCGCCTTGTACGGGCTATCGTCAGGGGTCGATGGCATATCGGCCGCGGTTTTGCTGAAGATGTTCGTTCGGATGTAACCAGGAGTTACAAGCACCACGCGAATTCCGAACGGCTTCATTTCCACCCGCATGCAGTTTGTAACCGCGTTGAGAGCTGCCTTGCTTCCCAGAATAGGCAGACGTAAAGGGGCTGAAGGAGAAAAACGATACAGAAACGTAAAACGAAAGGATTAGGATAAAGTCGCACCACTCAGGAGCTCCAGTCCGCATTGTTGCAATCATCAACTACAGCAGACCACTCAGGAGTACGAATGCGCACAACGCATTGCAGTGACAAACAAGCAGCATGTTTCGGGTTGAGGGGGAGGTCAGTGAACGGGAGTGCAGTGTGCTCGGGGAATGATTGAGATGTATTAGAAGGGATTCCAGGGTAGTACCGGTGAGTGTAGCTGCTGACACTGGACATGTTAATGATGGTTCCGCTACCGCGTCTCGCCATGTGCGGAAACACTGCCTGAGACAGCGTTACAGCACCGAAAACATTCGTTTCGTAAACCAATCGCAATCTATCGAGGGGGATATCGGCAACTGGAGACGGAGCGCCGAATCCCGCGTTGTTCACTAGCACATCGATACAGTCACACTCCGATACCACTCTTGCGATCGCTTCCTGCCAGCGTCGGAGACAAGAAAGAGAGGATATGAAATGAACGAGAAGAATGAAAGCAACGGACGATAAACTGGGAGGATAAAAAGGGAAGAGGTGAAAAGGGAGCACGGCAGGGGATAATACGAGAGTTTGAGAGTTAAGATTGACATGAGTACTGCTGTTCGAAGTGGTAACTTCTGCCAGGTACAGGGTACATGATATTAGCAGTTAGTAACTGCTGATGATTACAGCAACTTCTTAAGTGACTTTTCCTAGTCACACCTGTACTGATCTTATGCAAGTGACGTCTAGCGTGAGTAGTCGCACGCCCAGCTCTGACAGCCCGTCCATCGCCTCAAGTCGCCGAGCTGTCGCATACACGGTCGCTCCGCGACTCGCGAACTCCCTGTTGTATTTTTTGCGAAAAAATATTGGAGGTTGTTATTGAAGATTCTGGAGCCTCTGTATCGTGCACAAAAACATGAAGTGGGTGGCTGATTATGTGGCATGAAGCACTTACTCCGCAAGAGCGTATCCGATCCCGCCAACGGAGCACCCCGTTATAAGCACAACCTTGCCTCGCCCCGGCTTGTCCTTATCCCGCCGATCCGCATATCCGGAATCTCCAAACTCGTGTCGCTGGATGAGACCGGAACCTTCGAGACACCGCTCATGAAATCTAGTAATTTTCTCGAGGCGCATCATTGTGGTGGAGAACTGAGGAACTCTAAGAAGTTTGTAAGATTGAATCCACGACAATCCCTTTGCTTCCTCCAAGTACAATCTGAAATCTTTTGTGAGAACCCTACGTACGACGATATTTGCCGCTGTTTTCTCGCCAGAAAACGAAGCGACGAGGCACTGGACCTGAGTATCAACATAGTTAATGTTAGAGAACTATCGGAGCAACGTCACGCACTAGTAAATCAGTCACCTGTCCTAGAGCCTCTCATCCGTAGCAAGGAATCATGGAATAATCGGCCAGGGAACCACATTTGGACGACGAGGTGGTTGTGGTGCACTGGCAAAAGAATCTGGGGAAGAAATTTCTCATATATGTGTGACGTAAAAGAACCAAGGCACAAAAACATCACAGGCAGCATCATCCCTCCTCAGAAGCAAGGCTTTTGTGAGTTTCCTTCTCTGGTAAATTTGGCTTTTATAAAGCAACCACATTGCTCACCAAAGGCCTAAAACACAAGTGAGAAGTTTCATAAGTAATCGAAGTGAGAAATTATAGTGGATATCTAGCTGTTGCCGCCCGTGCCAAGCCCCAAAAGCATGTTGTTGCCGCCCGGCAGGTACACCACATTGCGGCTCCGAGAAAGAGTTGCTGCAATCTCCCTTGCCGCCTCGATTCGCCTCAGCTCGATCATCGCACCTCCCACATTCGCTGTCGCGTCAGAAATCTGGAACACGTCACGGCGGACACAGAGACAAAACATACATGCATCCAGAAGTCAGAAACCAGCGAAGTTGTTGTGTAGGCCCGAAATCAGGGAAAACTAAAACAAATCACCACCTCATGCTCCCCACGTTGACACACACACACAAGCCATGCCATGCCAAGCCATGCCATGCCATGCCATGCCATGCCATGTCACGGTCCCAACCCACCAACCCACGCCGCCTTCCCTGCCTCAGACTCACCCTCTGCCCTTGTGACCTTGCAGCGTGGTCGCTGCTAACGTTTCCCCTTGCACTAAACAGCAGGAACCATATTATGGCCATGGTATCAAATCCACCACCCACCCACATAGCCTCTTTCCGAGGCGCCTCAAACATGGCTTCTCCACCATCCTTCCCCAGCAACCCACCAGCTAGGCCACTTAAATCGCCCTCTGCCCTTGTGACCTCTGCATGCTCTCCTGCTTCGCCTCTTGCATTCACGCAACCTAAACCCTAAACCATCAACCCACCCGCTTGGCTGCCTCAGACCCGCGATCTGCCCATGTGATCGCTGCGAGCCTCTGCTGATCTGCCTCTTGCATTCACACACTCACGTCATGCCATGCCATGCCATGCCATGCCCTGCCATGCCATGCCATGCCGTGCCATGCCGTGCCATGCCATGCCGAGCCATGGCCCCTGCCCGTCAACCCACCAGCTTGGCCGCCTCAGACTCGCCGTCTGCCCGTGTGATCGCTGCCAGCCTCTCCTGATCCCCCTCTTCCATGCATTAACACACTCACCTCAAGCCACACTCTGCAACCCACCCACACCGCACAGAACCACCCCATCACTCACCAGCTTGGCTGCCTCAGACTCGCCCTCTGCCCGTGTGAGCACTCCAGCCTCTCCTGCTCCCACTTGCACTGACACAATCACGCACACAAGCCATGCCACACTCTGCAACCCACCCACACCGCACAGAACCACCACATCAACCCACCAGCTTGGCCGCCTCTGACTCTCCCTCTGCCCTTGTAATGGCTGCAAGCCTCTCCTGCTCCGCCTTCATCACCACGAACTTGGACCGCTCAGCCTCCTGCTGGGCTGTTGGGAGCAAACAAGGCACAGGGAGAAGCGACAGGGAGACACAGCAGCGATGGAGGGTGTGAGATGGATGGAAGCAGGCGGCCTGGTGGGAACAGCCTCTCCTGCTCCGCCCTTCATCACCACAAACTTGGACCGCTCAGCCTCCTGCAGGGCTGTTGGCAGGAGGGATGGACAGGTGAGGGCAGAGAAATGAGACATGATAATAACCAAGGTAGAGCGTGCCTTTCCTGCTCCGCCCTTCATTACTGCAAACTTGGACCGCTCAGCCTCCTGCTGGGCTGAGAAAGATTCAGTAGAGAACTGTATGTTGTACTGTAGGAAACCAAACTTTTGATTGCATCACAAGCTTTCAAGGGCAAAGCCACTCACAAATTTGCTTCTTCTGACAAAATTGGATAACTCACGGCACAATAGACTACAGAAAAAAACCTGTGCATCATTTTAACTTGATTATGCACGGAGAACTTTCAAGAGCAACAAGGCACTCACCAACTTGCTTCTGCTCCACAGCCTTGGAGAACTCAGCGCCATATGAGAGATGGGTCTGTGTAGGTTGGGTGCGGTGGGGTGGGGTGAACATGGGATGGGCATGGGTGGTGTGTTTTGAGCATTGGATGGGTGTTCATTGGGTATGGGATGGGTAAGGGGGGAGAAAGGGGGGAGACTCAAATTATAGACATTTCAAAACATGCTGATACATTTTGAAATATGCTGTTGGCGTGAACTGTTCTGAAACAACCGAGTATCACACTCAACCGCACCAGCATCACACCAGTGCCATGTCATCCTGAATTGATACGCCATCATACCAATGCCGATTCATACATCAGTGCCACGTCATCTCACCAGTGCCACGTCATCCAGCACGATGTTAAAGTCCTTGGCTCGCTGAGTCAGCGCCTCCCGCACAAGCTTTGACACCTGGTTGTTGAATTTTACACAAGTGAGGCGCAGGGGAGAACTTAAAGATAGTTAATTTCTAGCATGTGTATAGATTGATTATAAACATGTAAGTTACACCCCATCATTGTACACTAACGCACAGCACACTCACATATGGACGCTCGGTGAGTAGTTGATCTGCATTGAATTGAGCCTGCAGAAAGAAAGCCAAAAAGCAAGCAAGAAGGAAAGAAAAAAAGCAAAACCACACAAACACAAGGATTAGAAAAGATAAATGGGAGTGATAAACCCTCACATTGCCGAATGCATCTGCCACATCCTGATGAAGGTCTAGCTGTGGGCTGGCTGTTGAGTTTTTACCTACAGGCTACAGCTAAAAAAAGGCACAGCAGAAAATACTCGTTATAAGCAGTCACCAAGACAGCTTTCAACACTTTGTTGCCCAAAGAACGCAGCAAGAGCTTATCGTAATCCGTTCCAAGCAATTCAAAATGGTGGGCAGGCGGGAGGCGGTCTCTAGTATATACCACAGCTAACCTTTACAGAATCAGACAGGAATACCGTACTCGTTATAAGCAGCTCACCACAACGGCTTTAAGCACTTCGTTGCCAATAGAGGGCAGCACCCTCTCGTCATAATCCGTGCCAAGTGTCTTGAAAATGGTCGGCAGGTGGGAGGTCTCTGGCTTGGACAGCACTCGGAGCGTCAGATTGACCATCTGCAGATCTGGTGGGGAGAGGAAAGGGTACGGGAGCGTGAGCATGGAAATACGGGCACTGAGTTGTGGTGGTATGCAGGTGGGAGGTCTCTGGCTTGGACAGCACTCAGAGAGTCAAATTGACCATTTGGAGATCTGTAATAAGCGAGGATAGGGTGCGGGGGCGTGAGAGAATGACTCTTAGAGATGATTGGCAGGTGGCTGGCCTCTGGCTTGGACATACTCGCAGTGTTAGATTGACCATCTGCAAATTTGGTTATGAAAAGAACAGATAGGGAAGAAGGGGGGAGGACAGGGGGCGGAGGAGAGAGTAGATGGGAATAAACTCTCAAAGATGGTGGGAAGGTGGGCGGTCTCTGGCTTGGACAGCATTCGCTGGATACGTACCCTTTCTTTCTGTAACGGAGGTGATGGAACGTGGGCGAGTGCGCACGTCAAAGATGTAGGGCTTCTGCAGCCACGGGATCAGAAAGTGCGTGCCCTCGCCCTGCGTCTCCGATCTCACACTTTGCTCCTATAACAATCTTACCTAAACTATTGTTCCTGTAACGAGTATCCTCACCTTTCGTTCCTGTAACGGAGGTGATGGAGCGGGGGCGAGTGCGCACGTCGAAGATGTAGGGCTTCTGCAGCCACGGGATCAGGAAGTGCGTGCCCTCGCCCTGCGTCTCCTCCAGCACTCCGCGGAACCGATCGAACAGCACCGCGCGATGCCCGCCGTCGACTGCAGAGAGACAGATTCAGGATATAGATTCGGGGACAGGGTTCGGAAACGTAGGCTCGGGAGGCATAGGTTCGGATAACATAGGTTCGGGAGACATAGGAAGTGCGTCCCCTCGCCCTGCGTCTCCTCCAGCACTCAGCGGAACCGATCGAACAGCACCGCGCGATACCCGCCGTCGACTGCGGGGAGGAATGGTTTGGAAAACAAAATCGGGGATATAGGTTTCGCAAACCGGTTCGGGAGACACAGGTTCGGGGGACAGGTTCGGGAGACACGGGATTACGTCCACTCGACCAGCGACTCCTCCAATACTCCGGGGAACCGATTTAAAAGCACCGCGAGAATATCAGCCGTCGACTGCGAAAGACGGAGAGTTCATAAGGGGACAGTTGCGACGGGATTCTACTCGACCGAAACACATCGGCATAGCGAATGCTGGGTAAGCATTCGCCCAAGAACTAGTAACAGGAGAGGGCGAGATTCTGGCGACGTTCGCCAATACACGCAGCATGATCTCGATGCGAGATAACACGTACCCGTATAGAGTGACGCGTTAAGCAAGCTGCCGCCCACGCCGAGCGTGATGGCGAGCCTGGCGATGTTCGTCAGCACAGCTGTCGCAGACGAGCTCATGTTGGCGACGTTCGCGAGAAGCTAGTTTGTTGATTTACGGTTTCGCCTCAGCTGAGCTCACAACACGAGAGACGCGAAACTTCGCAAATCCAAACCGGATCTTCAAAGATCGCGACCGCTAGAGGGACCAGGAAGCCTGAATCCACCGTAATATCCGCCGCAAGATCCGCCGCAGACGACGCGATAGGAAACGAGAGGAATGATTTCGAGTACGTGGACGAAGTATATCTGGCGAAAAACAACGAAGATCTTCGTACGGAAATCGGCGATGAGTCTTGGTTCGAACAGATGAGGTGAGAATATCGGCGATATCGGATATCGGACGGTCCTTGATCGCGCTCCCGAATGCGGACGGCCAAGGCGCCTACTATGTGGCGAATAGAAGGCTCTAGACTTTCAACTACGTTGTGGGCAACGGGAGGAATGAGGCGAGAGCTGAGGTGACGTGTGAACCTCGATGATCTCGACAACGAAGAATTGCGACTTGGAGATGACGAAAGTCGTGTGGTAACAAACAAAATCGCGCTACTGCAGGCTCGGAACTGTTTATTGAATCAATGCACACTATGCATAGGTGAAGTTCAAACGCTTCCATGTGTAAACCCTCCCAATCAAGCCATCTATATAACGCAAGGAATACCAGTCAGAATGTATCAGAAATCTCCTACCACATGTCTACTATAACAAATCCATGTATGTTCCTCTAATGCATCCATGTGTCAATTTCGTTCAAGCCTTAGCGGACTGGGGAGTGGAAGTCGGAATAGCTGCATCCTAGGCCCGAACAGCCGTGCTTCTGAGATCTAACAACCCATCATCCTTGAGCTTAGGATCTAGCGGCAGCACCTCCTTGCAGCATCCTACCACATGTCCACTTTCAACACAGCAAACTTATCTGATATCGATTACGGTACATGGCATCGACAAATCCTCACTACACTCAAGCCTTGGCGGATTGGGGGGTGGAGGTCGGAACAGCCGTATCAGGAGCACGAGCAGCCGTGCTTTTGAGGTCCAGCAACCCATCCTCCTTGAGCTTTGGGTCGAACCGCAGAACCTCCTTGCAATTCCTGGCTTTAAATGCCGCCTCTAGCTCCCGCTCCACTCTCCTCGCCACCTCCTTCAGTGCCTTTGCCTTGGGCGGCCCGGGAGCAGCATATTCCACTGACTTCCTCTCCTCCTCTGAAAAAATACAAAGATACGGGAGGGATTAGGTTTATCAAAGGTGCATGTGGGTTCCATAATATCTCGAGGATGCATATAAAAACGGAGCAACACAGGAGCAAGAAGATGCACATGTGGCTGGGGTATGCACATGCATGTGGAGGTTGCTCATTATTCCCGAACGTTTAAAGCCCCATAATTTGCAATCCACTTGTCCTTGATACAACCACATCTTGGCCTCGGAGGTACAGACCTTCCTTGGTTCTCCCAGAAAGGAAGGCCTGTACCCTCACTAGAGCTAGAAGATTCCTTTCTATCACGCACCAGTCATGAGGGGCTTGCAGTCTAGCGGGTTCTCCCACTGGTTCTGCTCCGCCCCTCGTTGTTTCCAGCCCCATTTTCTGCGATCCACTGATCCTTGATAGCCTCTAGCACCGTCTTGGAGGGGCGCGTGATGTGGGTGGGGGCACCTTTCCTACAACCCTCCTTTCACTCACCAGACATCAGAGGCTTGCAGTCAAGAGGGTTCTCCCACCGGTTCTGCTCCGGCCCCTCGTCGTTCCTCGGGGGAGCAACTCCATTCTCTGCGATCCACTGATCCTCGATGGCCCCTATTACTGCCTTGGAGGGACGCGTGATGCAACCACTATTACTGAAGACGCCCACCCCTTGTGCCACTCACCGGTCATGAGGGGCTTGCAGTCGAGGGGGTTCTCCCACCGGTTCTGCTCCGGCCCCTCGTCATTCCCCGGGGGAGCAGCCCCGTTCTCTGCGATCCACTGGTCCTTGATGGCCTCTAGCACCGCCTTGGAGGGGCGCGAGGGGAGTGATGCGTTTCACCTTTCCTGGAAAGGACCCTCTTGCCACTCACCGGTCATGAGGGGCTTGCAGTCAAGAGGGTTCTCCCACCGGTTCTGCTCCGGCCCCTCGTCATTCCCCGGAGGAGCAACCCCGTTCTCTGCGATCCACTGGTCCTTGATTGCCTCTAGCACCGCCTTAGAGGGGCGCGTGATGTGAGTCACCTTTATCCACGCACACGCGCTCGGCACCCGCGCAAAATGCAGCCTCATGCTTTGGTATACCTGGAACGAGAGAAAGGGGAGTGGGGAGGGAGGCAGGGTGTGTGGGGTTGGGGATGGGGGAGGAGGTGATGTAGGTCACCTTTATCCACGCACAGACGCACCCATAATCAAGCCAGAGGTCCCCTCTTTATGACCCTGCTCACCTGGCGAGACACGCCAATGTACTGTAGCACTTTGTTGTCATTGTAGATGCCATACACCGATGCCTTGGCTCCCGCTTGCGTGCAATCCGATATAAGCCCCTCCTCTGTAAGATACGGCACCCAGTCTAGATCCGCCAGACGTGGGTGCGCTCCTGCTGCTGCTGCCGCTCCCCCTGCTGCTGGTCCCCCCGTTGCCTCACTCTTCCGCTGCGCCATCTGCTTGCGCCGATACTCCTCCTGCGCCTGCAATGGCCAGGATGGGACGGTGGGCAAACCGGAATTCCTGAGTCAATAAAAAAACCCCGTATCCTTCCTCCAGCTACCTCGCTCTTCCACTGCGCCACCTGCCTGCGTCGATGCTCCTCCTGCCTCTGCATTGGTCACGAGAGGGTCGGCGGGTTGGATGTGCGTGAGAAAAAACCAAACTCCTAAGCCGATTAGACAATCAGAGACCCCTCTCACTTCCCCTCGCTTCATCCCTCCAGAAATCAATCCTTCCAGCTTGCCTCTGTTACGCTTATTCGTATATGCTACCCTGGATGTGGCCTGTCTTTTCGTTCTCATGTTATCAGCGATTGTTATTACCGTGGCGTTGATGGTCTGTGTTGCCATTCTGATTGTATTCGCAATGAAATCTTACCCGGGCGGTGGCCTGTCGGGTTTGCTCCGCATGAGCTTCAGCCGCTGCGAGCTTCTGCTTCCACTTGGGCTCCGACGACTGACCCGCATCGCCGTCGCCTGCATTCGCACAGTAACACGGAAAGGAAACGATTCCTCCATATTATAGAATTATACAGAGATGGAGGTGTAATAATTCGGTCAGGGATATGTTTCTAACGCGTTCGATGCTCGTCAGTGCCTGCAGCAGCGCAAGTGCATGTGAAACGCCTATGCGTAAAGGCATTCTGATGCGTCTCATGACTAGATGATTACCAGGCCGTCTCTAGACGAACGTTACGTACCTGCAGCAGCGCAGGTGCAGGTTAAGCGCCTGTAAGTGATCGCAGTCGCATTGGGTCGCAGAGACACGCTGGGCGACTGCCTTGCGACCAGCCGCTGCAAGGAAGTGCTGCAAGAAAGCGACCGTGAAAAGACAGAAGAACGCACATGAACAAAAGAGACCCATTTATGACGCCGTTCCATCAGGAGGGAAGGATGGGTATGGAAGCACACACGATTTTTCTCTATGTAGGATGGAAAGCACGTGGATTCGCTACGCTTTCGCTGCGACGGAATGCCGAGCGGCTTTCACCCACCCGACTGCAGAGGAAGCAGCGAGAGCCTCCATTCTCGTTCGTACAAAAGGCAGGTAGACTGAAGAGCTGTCAGAGAAGCGAAGAATCTTCAGGAGATGACTCAGCGAAGGCCAACAAATTTACAGACGAGTCTCGGAGCTGGGCTGTGAATCCGAATTCTGAAAATGAAAATGTGACAAGATTGAGCGAGGAGAGCAGAATCAGGGAAACCTCGAGTTTGGTTTCTAGCATCGTACGCCACCGCGCTGAACCTCTTTGAAAGCGTTTCCAACACCCTTGTTTACACCGAGTGAGGTTTCGGAAAAGCTCCGCTGGAGATGAGATTTTCTGAAGAGCCAGTCAGCTGTAGCCAGCATGGACGCGGTGTTTCGCCACGTCGGCTCCAGCCTGATTAGTGGGGAAGCGGAAGCATCCATTTGCTTCCCATTGGTCTAACCTTGATTTGAGAGATTGACTGTGCGTGTGATAAAAACGCAGCGACCACAAACATGCACGGCATTGTCAATATTTACCTGCTGTCACAATATTGTCAGGTTAATGCTTATAAAGGACTCGATGCAAAACGGGTATTATTTGTAGATCAAATTCTAGGTCTGGAAGCTGGTTACAGTATTTCACGCGTCGCATTGTGCGTTTGTTAGAATTACGTTCATTGCGTGAATTCAGGCTTACTGATTTCACATCTCGGCATCGCGGCGTGCGACATCTATCCCGTTCATTGGTAGGTTCGACTTTCCGTATCAATCGCCTTCGTTTCGCAGACAGTCTCCTGCGATGGGCACCGTAATGGACGACCGTCCCGGCGACGGTCCTGCAGCTCGCGATGCCTCCACCTCCGCCGACGCCGCCGCGTCCCCAAACCCTACCTCCGTTTCCGCCGCTGTTTCTTCCGGGAAGCGCAAAGAGCGGGAGGAAGGCGCGGGGGATGGCGCAGACGGCGGCGAGCAGTGGGAGAACCGCGGAACTGGGGGAACGGCGGAAGCAGCGTCTGGGAGGAGTAAGGGGGAACGGGCGGAAGGGAGAACTGCGGGGGAAGCGGAAGCGGAAGCGGCGGCGGAAGCGGCGGAGGGGGAGGATCTGGGTCCGGTTGTGGGGCCCGTGATTCCCAAGGCGAAGAAGAAGAAAAAGCCGCTGGTGTTCGAACGCGTGTACCTGGACGCGCTTCCATCCGCTGAGATGTGAGTTTAAACGCGAGACATTTCAGGATTTCGGAGTTTGAGAGGAAGGGAGTCAAAACTTGGGGATTTGACATGAGACGTTTCAATTGAGATTTCAGGTACACCTCACCTGGACGTTCTGAAGGTGAGGTGTACCTGGACGCTCTGCCTTCCGCTAGGATGTGAGGTTAAAGGCGTCTCTGTTTCTACATAGTCTTGAGACGTATTGATGCACGGATGCACTTGGTTGGATGCTTTGCTGTCTGCCAAGATGTGAGATCGATAGCAGCCGTCTGATCGTTTTCCACCACTTTCCACCTTTCTCTACCTTCGTTCCACCCCCACGATTCTCCAGGTACGAGAAGAGTTACATGCACTGCGACTGGGTGACATGCGTGGCCGTCTCTATCCACGTTTTCCAACGCCATTCCACCTCTCTGTACCTATTCTGACCTTTGCATTTCGCCAGGTACGAGAAGAGCTACATGCACCGTGACTGGGTCACGCACGTGGCCGTCTCAGATGCTGATTTCTTCATCACAGGCAGCAGAGACGGTGCGTTTTAAGTGGAAAGGGTTCATTATAAGCCGAGAAGATTTGTAATAAGCAGAGAGGCTTCTTGATAATTGCAAATGGTTTGTCATAAGCAGTGAGGGTTCGTAATGAGCAGAGGAGGTTTGTTTTATCCAGAGATGGTTCGTTATAGGCCAAGATGGTGCGTCGTATCCAGAGAGGGATTGTTATAAGGGAAGGGGTTCGGTATGATTAGAGAGGGTTGGATTCAGGCAGAACTGATGCGGAGAGATTGCGTTTCATCTATAAAGTGTGCCACTTACCAGAGAAACAGGTATTTCCATACAAAACTTCTTTTTTGTTATCCTCTTCTCCACTCTTGCTATTGCATTGTGAAATTGTTATCCTCTTTCTTTCCACCCTTCTTCGACTGAAGAAGAAGGCGGTGAGGGTGGAGTTTTCAAAGCACCTGATTGATAGTCCCACCTCCTCTTCCTCCCTGTTTTCCCTTCCCTTCCTTCATTGCCCCCATTGTAACTCCTTTCTAAGCCCTTTCTTCGTCTGAACCCAATCAGGCCACCTTAAGTTTTGGAAGAAGGCAGTCGGGGTGAAGTTTAGCGAGGAAGATTGCTCGTGGTTTTCTGGCCCGCTGGGCTTTGCGGCACTTGAAGATTCGTCCATCGAGCACGGTTTCTCGAAGGACTACAGCGTAGCCAAGCAGACCTGGTTGTACAGAAAGCAATCCCTGAAACGTACAGCCAGGTCTGCTCGGCTACGCTGTCGTCCTTCAAGAACGCGTGCTCGATGGACGAATCTTCAGGCGCCGCGAAGCCCAGCGGGCCAGACAGCCACGTGCAATCTTCCTCGCTGAACTCATACCAGAATTGTGATCAGTTGCCACTTACTATAGAAACAAGTGTTTCCATACAACACTTCTTTTCTCTTATTTTATTAATGTAAATTTGTTATCCTCTTTCTTTCCATTCCTTCATAACTCCTTTGTAACCCCTTCTTTTGTTTAAACCCAATCAGGTCACCTCAAGTTCTGGAAGAAGAAGGCAGTGGGGGTGGAGTTTGCAAAGCACTTCCGAGCACACCTGGGGCCGGTTGAAGGGCTTGCAGTGAGTGGGACGGTGTGGGCGTATGTGGTTTGAGCGCGACAGCGTTGGGTGTGGGAGGGTCTAGATAGGGGGATTGGACGGCACGGCACTCCCTGCTCTGCAGCACCATCTCCTCTCAGGGCAGAGCAGCCAAGATCTTTTACGTGGCAACATGATCTCACTCAATGCTCAAGCTGCCCTTTGCTCCCCCCCTCCCTCCCTCCGTCCTTACCTCCCTTCCCCTCTCCTTCCTTTCCCATCCCGCCGTCCTTCCCCTCCTTTCCCGTCCTCCCTTCCCTTCCGTTTTCCCTCCTCCTCCCCGTTTCCTCCCACCAGGCGATGTGAGTGCGGATGGCACGCTCTGCAGCACCATCTCCTCTCAGGACGAAGCAGTCAAGATCTCCAATGCAGCCATCCTGCTTGTTTGTTGATGCCTGCCTGTCTTCCATGCTCCCCTTTCCCCCTTTGTCTTTTTGTTGTCCTCCCCTCTCGCCACCCTCCCTCCCCTTCCCTCCTCCCACCAGGTGAGTGTGGACGGTACCCTCTGCAGCACCATATCCTCGCAGGACAAAGCAGCCAAGATCTTTGATGTGGCAACCTTCGACATGATCTCAATGCTCAAGCTGCCCTTCGAGCCATCCGCCGTCTGCTTCCTCTTCAAGCCCGACAACGCTATAGCGAAACTCGCTATAGCGGATAAGAACTCGCCCGAGATCCACGTGTTTGATGCGCGCGGCGGCACGAACGAGCCCGTGGGGAGGGTGAGGGTGCATGGGGCACCGGTGGTGGTGATGCAGTTCAATGTGACGGCGAATGTGGTGGTTTCGACCGATTCGAGTGGAATGATCGAGTATTGGAGTGCAGACACTTACACGTTCCCTTCATCAAGGTATGCAGTTGGCAGCAACAGGCGCATGGTTGGTGCATGGCCCGTGGGGAGGATGAAGGTGCACGGGGCGCCGGTGGTGGTGATGCAGTTTAATGTGACGGCGAATGCGGTGGTTTCGACCGATGCGAGTGGGATGATCAAGTACTGGAGTGCAGACACTTACACGTTTCCCGGTGCAAGGTGCGTGGTAGATTGCATGTGCATGTGGCGGCGAATGCGGTGGTTTCTACCGACTCTAGTTTTGGAGTGCTGACACTTACACGTTCCCTTCATCGAGGTATGCTGTAGACAGGAGGAGGTGCATGCATTGTGTGTTGTGTGTTGTGCATGATGCATGATGCACGGAGGTGGGGAGGGTGAAGGTGCATTGGTACCTATCCTATCCTTATCTGTCTCCTCACTCATCTCCCCATTCTCCAACATTTTCCATTCCTCTCCACTCAGTTCGAGTTTTTAACTCGCCTGGTTGCACATGTCTACCTGCCAGCTCAATCCTCTCCACCGTTCTCCACTCCTCTTCACCACTCCCCCATCCCAGCGTCCGCTTCAAGTACAAGACAGACACGGACCTCTATGCCCTTGCGAACGCCAACAGTCAACTTGCCATTGTGTCTTCTGCTGTCTGCTCACTCCTCTACATCGTTCTCTACTGTTCTTCACTCCACTTCACACGTCCCCTCCTCCCAGTGTGCGCTTCAAGTACAACACAGACACGGACCTCTATGCCCTTGCAGGGGCCAACACTCAACATTTCTATGCTGGCAGCTCAGTCCTCTCCACCGTTCTCCACTCCTCCTCACCCCCCCCCCTCCCAGTGTGTGCTTCAAGTACAAGACAGACACGGACCTCTATGCACTAGCAAAGGCCAAGACCACAGCTCCTTCACTGGAGGTGAGAAGCAACAAGCGAACCCAACCCAACCCAATCCAACCTATCACCGTCGCATGAGTTGGTGGAGTGGACTTCAGGGAGGTAAGTTGCTGGAGATGAGTCAGGAGGCCTTTAGGATTAATTTCCCTATCCGACCCCCCCAGCAGCAAGCTCCCTGTTCCCAGATTGCCACTAGCAAGCCGCTGAGGATGCCCGTTTCCCCTCTTCCCTCTCTGCTCTTTCCTCCCCGCCCTCTTTCCCCACTCAGATTTCCCCGGACGGCTCTCAGTTTGCAACAGTGTCACCAGATCGGCGAATCCGAGTGTTCTGGTTCGCCACCGGAAAGCTGAGAAGGACTTATGACGAATCACTGGAGGTGCGTTTATATGCATTCATACTCGAGTGGCTGTGGTGAGTTGAGAGGTTGAATTGGGTGCTGTACTGGTTGCCGTTTACTTGATGAGCCAATTCACCACTGCCAACCACTGCCAACCACTGCCAACCCCATCATTCACTCCCAACCCTTCCTGTGCAGGCAGCACAGGAACTACAGAGGGGGGACGTGCCTCTGTACCGGCTAGATGCAATTGACTTTGGGAGACGGTTGGCGGTGGAAAGGGAGATGGAGATGGAGAGGGAGAGGGAGAGGGAGAGGGAGAGGGAGAGGGACCAATAATGGGACTCACTTGCACCCTTTGTTCCCCCCTCCTCCGCATGCAGGCAGCACAGGAGCTACAGAGGGGAGATGTGCCGCTGTATCGGCTAGGCGCGATCGACTTTGGGAGGCGGCTGGCAGTTGCAAGGGAGAGGGAGAGGGAGGGGGGAAGCAGCGATGATGTATGTAACATGCTCTATTCTCATCCTCTCCCAACCAACCCTTTCAGGCAGCACAGGAGCTACAGAGGGGGGATGTGCCTCTGTACCGGCTAGATGCAATTGACTTCGGGAGACGGTTGGCGGTGGAACGAGAGATGGAGAGGGAGCGGGAGAGCAATGATGATGTGCCGTCGCCTAATGCTGTCTTTGACGAGACGGGCAATTTCATCATTTACCCGACGCTTTTGGGGATAAAGGTGGGTGTAATGGGCTTTGTTGCAAGCTCTTTTGCTTCCACATGGGAAACCAGAGAAAGGCTTGGAGAAAGGATTTCAGTGAGGGGATTTAGAGAGAGAACTCCGGAAAGGAGGAAGCAAACGTGCCAATGTGCATGTTTGCGGATGTAGATTCGCACGTTGCTCTCCAATCCGAACAAGATGGTGTGGATCCTTTTGAGTCGACTTAAAAGGCAACGCGGATCCTTGGGAAAGTGGAGAGCTCCCAGGCTGCGAGCGAGCGGTATTTATAGCCACATGGTGGTCGGAATTGAATCAACTGGAATCGTACTTGCAGTGCTTGTCGGAATCGTGAGAAGTGCAGGATGGAGTTCTGTGCGAGTCGGGGCTTGTTCATGACTTCAGAAATTCTGTGGTTCGAGTCGACGCTAATGAGTGATGCGTTTAGCGACCATCTCGACGGCGGAAGTTTTTCAGCGTGAGTGCGACCGTTTTCTCAAGGTCATCAAGGACCACACGGAAGCTAATATGTTGGCTGAAGGATGGGATGATCTTTTGCGGCCACCGGTCTTGATCGACTTCCGCGAATAATTGATGAATTGGGCCCTTGCTATGCTAATTGGCCGTTCCCCTAACCCCCCCAACCACACTCTCATTCCCCATCCCTCTCCCTTCCACCCCTCAGGTGATGAACCTGCATGAGAACAAGGTGGCGCTCATTCTCGGCAAAGTGGAGAGCAATGAGCGGTTCCTGCGCATCGCTCTGTACCATGGGGGCAAGGCATCGAGGCGGATAAGAATTGTCATTTGTTTAAGCCCCCTCCTCTCACCCCTTCCACCGCTTCCCCACCCCTCAGGTGGTGAACCTGCACGAGAACAAGGTAGCACGGATCCTCGGGAAAGTGGAGAGCAACGAACGGTTCCTCCGCATTGCGCTATACCAGGGAGGCAAGGCAGCCAGGCGGATAAGGAAGCTGGCTACAATCGCCAACTCGCAGGACGCCAAGGGCGGGCCTTCTGTGGATCCCACTGTGATCGCCTGTGCGTTCAAGAAGCACCGCTTCTACCTCTTCAGGTGAGTGAGCAAGATGGTGTGCTCGTTCTGAGACGCCTGGAAGGGGCCAGGAGGACAAGGAAGATGGCGACCATTTCAATTTCGCAAGGCGTCAAGGGCGGGTCGTCTGTAGATCCTACTGTGATTGCCTTGCCTGTGCTTTCAAGAAGCAATGCTTCTACCTCTTCAGGTGGGTGTGTACTGTCACCCCTCATGCCTGTAATAGCAATGCAGTGCCTTTAAGGGACACCCCTGTGTTGTGACCCTTTCGTAACCTCTGTGGCTCTTCACACCCCTCTGCACTCCCTCCTCCGCACTCCACCGCACTCAATGCCGCATCACCACCAGTCAGCAGAAATTGGAGGGGAGGGAGGAGCCATCACTGGGCATAGACGTGTTCAGCTAGAGATGCTGTGACCCCTCCCCATCCCCCTCCACCCCTCTCAACCCATCCAGTCAGCGGGAGCCAGAGGAAGGAAAAGAGCCATCACAGGACAGGGACGTGTTTAATTAGAAGCCACCACCGGAGGAGATGCTTGCTCTGACCCTTCCATGCCCTCTGTACCTCTTCACCTGTTTGCACTCCCTTCCATCACACTGCACCGCACTTGATCTCACGTCACCATCACCACCAGTCAGCGGGAACCAGAGGAGGGAGAGGAGCCATCACAGGGAAGGGACGTGTTTAACGAGAAGCCTCCACCGGAGGAGATGCTTGCTCTGGCGGATGTGGCGAGAATTGGAGCGTCTGCTTTGCCCGACAGTGTGGTGAGTGTCTCGCACTTTGCATGGCATTGTCTCATTGTCCAAGGCTGGTGCCAAGAGCTTTGCAGGGAGAGCGGTAGGAAGAGATGCATTGGCTGATGTGGTGAAAACCGGAGCATCGGCTTTGCGTGACAGTGTGGTGAGTGCCTTCCATGGCATAGCATGGCATGGTATGGCATGGCATAGTAGCATTGTACAAGGCTGTTGTCAAGAGCTTTGCAGGGAGAGCGGCAGGAAGAGGTGCTTGCATTGGCTGATGTGGTGAAAACCGGAGCATTGTCCAAGGTTGGTGTCATGCCAAGAGCTTTGCAGGGAGAGCGGCAGGAAGAGGTGCTTGCATTGGCTGATGTGGTGAAAACTGGCGCTTCGGCTCTGCCTGACAGCGTGGTGAGTGCCTTGCGTTGCGTTGTCTTGCCTTGCATCGTTGGTAGCATGATATGATACAACATCAGTCTCCAGTGAGGTAGAGAGAGCAGCAGGGGGATATGCTTGCACTGGCAGATGTGATGAAAACCGGAGCATTGTCCAAGGTTGGTGTCATGCCAAGAGCTTTGCAGGGAGATCGGTAGGAAGAGGTGCTTGCATTGGCAGATGTGGCGAGAACAGGAGCATTGGCTTTGCCTAACAGCATGGTGAGTGCCTTGCACTTTGCGTTGCATTGTGCATGGTAGCATTGCCTTGTCTTTGTATCGGCGTCGAGTGAGTGATGAGACCAAAGGCAGCTCATGCTGAGTGATTGCCTTTTGAAGTGCTCCAAAGACAGTGTGGTGAGTGCCTTGCATTGCATTGCACTGCATTGCACTGCACTGCATTGCCTGCAATTTGGTATGAGGTTAGGATGGAACGGAGTACGGAGGGTGGCACTCTGTTGGTTACTCTGACTGCTCCGCCTTCCTTCGTTTTTTCATTCATCCTCCCATCTTTTCGCCCCCACAGGTCATGCACACAACTATGGGCGATATCCACCTGAAACTTCACCCAAAGGAGTGCCCTCTCACCCTCCTACCTTGCAATTTCACCTCCGCTCCCTTCCTCCCCCTTTCCTCGCCCCCACAGGTCATGCACACGACCATGGGTGATATCCATCTGAAATTGTACCCAGAGGAGTGCCCGCGAACAGTCGAAAACTTCACTACCCACTGCAGCAACGGCTATTACGAGGGGCTGATCTTCCACCGCGTGATCAAGGGCTTCATGGTGCAAACCGGCTGCCCCCTGGGCGATGGCACGGGCGGCCAGAGCATCTGGGGCGGCGAGTTTGCAGACGAGTTCCACAAGAGGTGGGCTGGAGGGAGGGGTGGAAAGGGGTGGAGATAGGTTATATGGGAGTGGGTGTGTGCGGGTGGGTGATGGCACGGGCGGGCAGAGCATCTGGGGCGGCGAGTTTGCAGACGAGTTCCACAAGAGGTGGGTTGGAGGGGGGGGAAGCGGGTGGTAGGGGGGTGGGGAGGAGTGAGAAGGAGTCTGTGCGTGTGTATGAGTGTGTGTATGTGTGTGCGTATGAGTGTGTGTATGAGTATGTGTATGAGTGTGTATGTGCGAGTATGTGTATGAGTATGTGTATGAGTGTGTATGCGTGAGTGTGTGTATGAGTATGTGTATGAGTGTGTATGTGCGAGTGTCTGTATGAGTATGTCTGAGCGTGTGTATTCTCTCTTCTCTCCACCTTCTTCCCCCTTTCTCTTGCCTTCTCCTCCCGTTTTGTCTTCCTCTCTTCCATGTCTTCCCATCCCCTCTTTTCGCCCCTTCACTCTATCAATGGCCAACGCAAACCCCAACACCAACTGCAGCCAGTTTTTTATCACCATGGTTGCTTCTCCTTCCTCACCCTCTCGCTCCCCCCCCCCTTGCCCCACCCCCCGCTTTTCCTTTCTCTTCCCCTCCCCTCTCCCTTTCCCTGGCAGTCTGCGTCACGATCGCCCGTTCACGCTATCGATGGCCAATGCAGGTCCCAACACCAACGGCAGCCAGTTCTTCATCACCACTGTCGCCACGCCCTGGCTTGACAACAAGCACACCGTGTTTGGGCGCGTGGTTAAAGGCATGGACGTCGTACAGGTGAGGGGGATGGTGGGGAAGTGTGGGGATGGATATGCATGGTTCATGTATGTACGGGTTTATTTGCAGCTCTTCATCACCACTGTCGCCACGCCCTGGCTTGACAACAAGCACACCGTGTTCGGCCGTGTTGTTAAAGGGATGGATGTTGTACAGGTGAGGGGGATGGTGGGGAAGTGTGGGGATGGATACGCATGGTTCATGATGTGTGGGTTTATTTGCAGTTTTTCATCACACCACAGTCACCACACCCTGGCTTGACAACAAGCACACCGTGTTTGGGCGTGTTGTTAAAGGGATGGATGTTGTACAGGTGAGTCGAGAGCGGTGGGGAGGAGTAGAGATGGGTGTATGTAGTTTGTCCATGTATGGGTTAGGTATTTGCATTCCTCATCACCCCTGTCACCACACCCTGGCTCGACAAGAAGCACACCGTATTTGGCCGCGTGGTTAAGGGCATGGATGTTGTGCAGGTGGGTTGAGAGCTGTAGCAAGGAGTAGGGATGGGTGCGGGTGGCTTAACTACTAAATGGGTTCATTCATATTCTTCATCACCACTGTCGCCACGCCCTGGCTTGACAACAAGCACACCGTGTTCGGGCGCGTGGTTAAAGGAATGGACGTCGTACAGGTGAGGGAGAGTGGTGCAGAGGGGTGGGAATGGGTGGGCTTATTTGTCGTCACCGTTGTCACTCCTGCCCCCATTTTCCCTTAAACCCCATTCCTCCTCTGCCACTTCCTTCCCCCCATGCATCAGCTTATTGAGAAGGCCAAGGTGGACCGGAACGACAAGCCATACGAAGACATCAAGATTCTCAATGTCACTGTCCCCAAGTAGGCCCTCTCATCTTGAGAGTTACCGTTCTTACAACTTACATAACGTGCTTAGCGGACTGACATGACAAGCCATTTGCAAAGACATCAAGATTCTCAATGTCACTGTCCCCAAGTAGGCCCTCTCAGGGTACATTCCGCTCTGGACACAAATGTCTCAATCGCGTAATAGAACCGCTGTACCAGTCTGCACCGCATTACACTTGAGTGTCGAACATTTCCACCGCACTGCATCTCTTCGTTTGAGACGCGAGGCCTTTGTGACGCGCTTCAGGAATGTACCCTCATTTTGAGAGTTGCCACACTTACAATACAACTTACATAACGTGCTTAGCGGGTTGTCATGACAAGCCATTCGAAGACATCAAGATTCTCAATGTCACCGCGCCCAAGTAGGGCGGTTTGTTTGGATTGGAGACTACCTGTAGTACAATATAACTTGCTCAATAGATCACATTGTCAAATCATAAGGTACACGGCGAGAACTCATAAATTCTCCATGTCACTGCGCCTAAATAGGCAAAGACTTTTTCCAGACGTTGCATTTTTTCATTGTGTCACCTGATTGCCAGTTCATACAAAACACGCAGCCCCCATTGAAGGCGTCGGCTCTTTTGTCCTTGGGACATGGGATATGTGCCAGTTCCATGTGAGAGATATGGTACTTGAGATTCCATGGTGTACAATATACACTGTCAGAAACTAGCAGCAGGAATGGATGAACTAACAGGATGCAGGAGTACAAGTAGTAAACCCTTATTGGGTTGTACCCCATATGGGCTACCCCACTACAACCTAGACAATATGCAGCACATATAGTTTGACACACCCCCATAGGCAAAGTGGGGGAGAACAAGGGGTCACACGACCAGTCAAGAGAAGCAAAACAAGCTCAGGGTGGATCACAACGTCACCACGCATTCCGAGCACAAGCAAAGGGCCACAGGGCCAGTTCACATGCAGAGATATATATATGCAGCAATAACAGTACAGTGATGGCTACCTAGCAAGAGCCAGCATGCAGGTATATATATAGATCACAGTACAAGCAGAGACTACAGCAAGTGTGGAAACGTAGGCACAAGGCCCAACAGAGTACAAAAGCGCTGATGATCACCAGACGGAAGTGCCTTGGTGAATATATCAGCAGTGTTGGCCCGAGTGGCCACGTGGCGAAGACGAAGCTGGCCTCGCTGCTGCAACTCTCGAGCCAGGAAGTAACGCAAAGCAATGTGCTTCGTTCTGTGCTCCAGTCTGTGCTCCTCACACAAGGCAATGGCGGCCTTGTTGTCGACGTACAGCACTGGAGGAGAACGAGGCTGCTCTCCCAAGTCAGTCAGCAGGTAGGTGAGCCAGCGTAACTCCTGTGCAGCCATGGCTGTGGCGTAGATCTCAGCCTCACAACTGGAGCTGAGAACTGAAGACGAGCGTGTAGAACGCCACGAAACTGAACCAGAGCCAAGGCTGAAGGTGTAACCCTGTAACGACCGCTGCGTAGCCTGGTCGTCAACCCAAGAAGCGTCTGAGTGCCCAGTGAGGACAACTGGGCTCGTCCCTCCAAGCACTAGCCCCATGCCTGATGTGCTGCACAAGTAGCGCAGTACCCTCTTAGCAGCAGCCATGTGCTCAGGTCGGTGCCGACCAGGAGCCACATAGCGAGCCAGAAGACCAAGAGGGTACGCGAGGTCAGGTCGAGTGCAAGTCATCAGGTACATGAGGCAGCCGACTAGCTCTGGGTAAGGACCACTCGGCTCTACGGACTCGTCCGAAGGTGGAGCTGAGAGCGTGTGACCTGTAGCCAGAGGAGTGGCCTGTGCTGAAGACCAGGTGAAGCCGAAGCGCTGAAGGACCTGCTGCACCATGTGTGGCTGAGTCAAGGTGATGGTGAGGCGTGCTCTGTCCCGGGTGATCTGCAAGCCAAGGTAGCTGCGCAGCTCACCCAAGTCTGTGCACGTGTGTCTCTTCTGCAGCTCCGACTTCACGTGGGCGAGAGCCTTAGTGTCAGCAGTGGCAAAAACCAAGTCGTCGACGTACACGAGGATGTAGAACGGCGGCAGTGAAGTGTCGGTGCGCAGAAACAGCGACGGGTCAGCAGTAGAAGGCGCGAACCCAAGAGCCGCAAGCGTAGTCCTCAGTGTGTCGTGCCACTCACGTGGCGCCTGGCGGAGACCGTAGACCGGCCGCCGGAGGCTCCACTGGGTACCAGGAGGGAACGACCCAGTGAAGCCCGGGGGGCGGCGCAGCCAGATCTCCTCGTGCAGGCTGCCCTGCAAGAAAGCTGTGCTGAAGTTAAGAGAGTGAAGCTCGTAGTCACGGTGAGCAGCAACGTGCAGCAGCACCCGAAGAGTGGTCATCTTCGGGGTGGGGGAGAAGGTCTGGAAGAAGTCAACTCCCTCTCGCTGACTGAAGCCTCGAGCAACGTAACGAGCCTTGAAGACAGGCGGAGAACCTGGCGGCCGCTTCACCCTGAAAATCCACATGCCACTGACGATGTTCGCCCCAGGAGGGGGAACCTCGTCGACGTAAGTGCCAGTGGACTTCCAGGATGCCATCTCTGCGTCCATGGCTGTCTGCCACTGAGAGGAGTACTCACTCGCGATCGCCTCAGCGTAAGAGCGCGGGGTCGGGATGTCTGGTGCATCCGGGTCTCCCTGAGGGGCAAGCAGCATGGCAACGAGATGAGGCGCAGCGGCTGCAAGACACTCAAGGTCCTCGTGCCTGTCCTCAAGGACGTCCGTGCTAAGAGCACACTCACCCCCGACGGACGGAGGACAGACAGACTCAGACTCAGCAACAAGACTGGCAGCGAAGTCTAGACGACAGGCAGCAGCAAAGTCAACAAGCTCAGCGACAAGAGCAGACGCAGCAGTAGACTCAAACGACGGGTCAGTGACAACAGTGGCTAGTAGACGCGTGACAGTAGGGTGCTCAGCACGAAACCGGTCAGACGCAGGGTCCGGAACGTCAGGCAAAGAGGACGCAGGAGGAGACGGCAGAGGAACAGGCTGCGGAGCAGAGGAAGGACGACGGACTACGAGGTGTGTGCTGGGGACAGCCGGCTGACGCGAACGAGGAACACGACGACCGGTACGACCAGGACGAACAGGCGAAACAGGACGCGACGCAGGCTCACGACGCTCAGCAGGACTACCAGTCTGCTCAGTGTAAGGAGAAGGAGCAGGTAGCGGTGAGCCAGGCTGTAACGGAAGACCAGTAGACGACGGGAGAGTAAGAACCTGACGAAGAACAGAGTCAGACGGCGGCAGAGACGACGGAGACGGCAGAGCGAAGAACAGTCGTGTCGGCGCACCAGTACCGGCAGCTCTAGCAGCTCCAGTGCCTCCAGCAGCTCCAGTACCTCCAGCAGCTCCAGTACCTCCAGCAGCTCCAGAAGCTCCAGTCCCAGAGCCGACACCTCCAGTCCCAGGGTCTCCAACCTCTGTGTCTCCAGCAGCAGCACCCCCAGAACCAGCACCTCCAGTTCCAGGGTCTCCAGCCTCAGTGTCTCCAGCAGCAGCACCCCCAGAGCCAGCACCTCCAGTCCCAGGGTCTCCACCTATGTCACAGGATCGAATTTCCACTCGAGAATCTTTCACTAAAGGTGAGTACAAGGCGTATTTATACTTAGAAATACATAGAAACAACAGATAATCCGAACCTTCGGGAACGCGCTCTTCTAGAATACATAATCACTAGTGCGCATAAGCACGCAAGCCCATTGGCACTTCGGATTATGGCGAGATTACGCCTTGTACACCACTGTCGGTGCTGTCGGTGCCGTATAATGTAATTGTCGGTGCCGAAAATACAAAATAAGTGAAATAATCGGAAAGCTCTAGAAAATAGAATAGTAGTCCGATTGAGGTGAAATAAAGTGCAAATGAAAGAGGAAAATAAGGAGAATAAGATAGAGGAGTAGAAATATGGAAATGATAAACATGTCGAACGTCGACGTACTCTTACACTTCCCCCCCTCAAAGCTGGGTGGTAGACGTAACACCCTGCTTGACAAGATAGTCGCGAAGAGAACGTCGGGCGTTACTCATGTCTTCTTCAGAGACCCAGCTGTCCTCGGAAGGATCATAGCCCTTCCAACGTATGAGAAACTCCAGGGCGCCATGCCGACGACGACGATGTGCTGTCAGAATGTTATATTGTCTAGCCTGCAGTGGGGTACTCTATAGCGAGTACAGCCCAATCTAGGGTTTGCTATTTGTACTCAACTGCCTGCTAGTTCAAACCTCTCTTTCTGTTCCTAACTTCTGCCTAGCTTGTTTCGACATGCTATCAGAGCAGGTCGACCCCCTTGGGTCGATCCTGTGGGTGGGCCCTCACCTAACTGCTTCCGCTGCTGTTATGCTTCTCGCGCGCCTCGGGCGTGCGTCGTCTTCTTCCTGCCGTGCGCTCGGGGCGCGCGGCGGTTTTCTGCCCGCCGTGCGCCCCGAGGCGCACGGCGGTTTCCTACCGTGGGGGACCCGCGCGCGCCCCCGCCCTGTCCGTCGCGTCGCCCCGCCACCCCGTCGCGCCGCCCTGGGGAGCCGCGCGCGACCCCCCGCTGCCCCGTCGACAGTCGCGTCGACCAGCTGGAGCCGCGCGCGGCTCCCGATTCCCCGTCGCGCCGTCCTGGGGAGCCGCGCGCGACCCCCCGCTGCCCCGTGGTGGCGCCCTGGGGGCCGCGCGCCGTCCCCCTCGCCGTCCCCCGCGCTCCTTCCCCCGTTCCGCCCGTTTTAGGGTTTGGGGGTGGGGAGTGTGGGGGTGGCGGTTGTGGGGGTGCCGGTTGTGTGCCCCGTCCCCTCCTCCTCCTCCTCCTTCGTCTCCCGCTGCTGCAGCTGCCGCTCAGGGGGGTGGTTGTGTGGGGAGCCGAAGGAGTGGTGCTAGGGGGGTGAAGGGGGAGTGGAGCTAGGGGCGCAGCAGGGGGTGTGTGTCGAGGGGTGTGGGACTGTTGGGGGAGATTGAGTGGAGGTTGCCGTCGTGTCGTCCGCAGCGCCTGTATTCCGGGGTTCT